GAACAAGTTGGGGCCAGCGCTAGTGGTGTGGGTGCACTGGGTGTTCTCCTTCATGTCTCATTTCACCCCACAACAACCCGTGGGGGCAGCATCCACTCCCCGTTCTCAGATTAGGCACCTGAGGGCTCAGAGAGGTTTGGGGGCTGGCCCAAGGGTACACAGCCAGTAATGACAGAGCTAGGATCCAAACCCGTATCTTCTAATTCTACCTTTTCTACCTATTCCCCAGTCACAAGCAAGTAGGAGACAGACCCAAATGCAAATAGCTTCACTTCTCAGCATCTCCCAGTCCAGCACCTGTCGAGGCACACCTCCTGCTTCCAGCAGTATCCGGGATACACACTTGTGTACCTTGGTCATCTTCCTGCCTTTCCGGGCAACGTCTACCCTCTGCCTTCTGGCAAACACAGAGCAAAGCTGGCAAGAGGAAGAGAGAAGAACCTGAGGGCCTGTGGCCATTCACCCAAGATGATGGTGCGGTCAGGAAACAACATGGAAGATCTGCATTTCACAGATCAGTCTAGAAAGGGGAAAGCAAACGTAGGATTGCATTTTTAAATTATGCTAAGCAAGAGCATTAAACACATTATCTACTAAAAAGGAAGATTTTAACAGTTAGAAGGAGATGCTTGCAGAAAAAAGGAGAGTCCTCAGAAAAGCCATTTACCTTTCACAAATGCGGAGCGCGTATGCGCATGTGCATACACGTAAGCGCGCACGCACATACGATGTTGCTGCTGTTGGTGTTGTTTTTAACACTGCCCTTATTTTTTCTCATTTTACTGAGGTCCAGTGAACACTTTTGCTATGCCTTAGACTAAGGGGAGGGAGGGAAGACAAAGGAAGGAAGCAGGAAGAGAAAGAAATGGAGAGATGAAGAGATGAAGACATTTTCTCTATGTGTAACTGATATAATAAGCAATATTGACTCACGTGGTACCCCCTCACCAACATATCCAAATTTGGATGAAATCCCAAACATTTTTTGTCAAGATACAAAGTACAGCAAAAAGTCATAACCGTCACAGCTATTAACTCTACACAAGAACAGACACTTCCCACAGACAGTGGGTTATGCAGTTTCCCACCCACTCCTTCCCACTCAAGAGAACAGATTTGAATGTAAGGGACTAAGAATGACATTATTACAGAAATAAATTGGGAGTTAGCACTGATTTATTATGTTTTTTGTAAAGATTTTATTTATTTATTTGACAGAAAGAGATCACAAGTAGGTAGAAAGGCAGGGCAGAGAGAGAGAAGGAGGGGGGGAAGCAGGCTCCCTGCTGAGCAGAGAGCCTGATGCGGGACTCGATCCCAGGATCCTGAGATCATGACCTAAGCCTAGTGCAGAGGCTTAACCCACTGAGCCACCCAGGTGCCCTATCATATTTTTTTATCATTCACAATTGATAATTTCTGTGACATCTCACAACCAGTCACGACTTAGCCATGTGTCGTGAGTCCAGACAATCAATCACCCCGAGGCTGAAGAACCTCATCTATTCTTCTGTAGACACCCTAGAGCACAAAGACCAGTGCCTGGCACAAGGCAGAAGCCCATCAGATATCTATCTTGTGATTAAGTTACATTTCATTTGGCCCCCTGAGAAGGGAGAGGACCTATCAAATCCATTCGATATTTATTGAACACTGACCTTGAGCAAGGCAACAGGATGGACGTCCTACATTCAGGATGTTATTTGCTGTCCGCCCCCCACCCCCACCACCAATAACTCTGTTAGACAGGTACTCTGTTAGACATGACCATGACGGCTGAGAAAAGGAATGGGACTTTCTACCCAGCTAACAAACGGAGGAGCTAGGAGTCCTTCAGCTGTATAGGACTGAAGATTATGCCTTTTCAATGACTCCACTATAAGCAAGAGACAGTTTCTACTTTCAAGGAGCTTACAATCGGAGAGATCAACACACATACACAGGAACTAACTACGCTTCATGGCAGAAAGCAGTACCTGTCACGAGGCAGATGCAGAGACAGAGAGAGGAGGAGAGTTCTGGAAGGGGCAGGGGTGGGAGAGAGGATAGCAAGAAAAGCTTGGTGGCAGGGGCAGCATTTGAGTGGGAATCCTGCCAAGTGGACAAGGTGGGGCAGAGATAAGAACAAACACAGTGACAACCAAGCAGTAAGCTCAAAGCATTTTCTGGGACAGTCCAATGGTCCAGTTTGGCTAGAGGACAGAAAGTGGCACAGAAGGGGGAAAGAAGGCTGGGAAAAAATGTTGGGGTTGGGTTGTGGAAGTACAGAAGGGCTCTAAAACCTAGGCTTGAGAAGTGTGGATATTTTTAGTGGGGAACGAGAGCCCCTTTGGAGGTCTCTTGGGGGTTGGTGGCATTGCATTGTTCTCAGACAATTATTCTGGTGGGATGGGTAAACAGAAAAGACTAAAGGTAGGGAACACCAGCTTGGAAGCTACAGCACTGGCTCAGGTGACAGGCATTGAAGACTTGAGCCAAGATGGCAGCTTCAGGAATGGAGAAGATGGGAAGTCCTCGAGGAAGCAGAATCAAAGGAAACTGACAACCGCCCGAGTGTGAGGAGCATGGCCGAGTGAGTGACACGATGGCCTCGCCACTGAGAAAGACGGGGCAAGTCACGTAGAACGGATGGACAAGTAAAGAAGGGGGCCAGTTTGGTTTTGGAACTACTGAGTTTACGTGGCTGGTGAGACATGCAGATAGAGGTGTCTTGTGAGGAGGCAATCACCAAATCACGGATCATTGGTCACAGAAGGGAAGCTGTTGAGTCCAACCAGCACAGCAATGTAACTCGGGCTACCCTCACCCCCAAAGCATCCCTAACCATTGAAGCCCCAGAGAAAGATCAGAGCAGGAGATCAGGATTTGAGGGTCACATGAAGAAATGACGGCTGACACTAAGGGCACTGGTGATACTTCTCAGAGGGGGAGAATGTGAGGAAGTAAGAGACAAAGGAAGTGAAATAACAAATACTAAATTCACACTGGACTGGGCTCTTTACACTTCAATTCCTATTATCCTCAGAATTCCCCAAGGAGATGCCCTATTGTATCCTGATTTCATATAAACTCAGCCTGGAGCCCAGGGAGGTTAGATAACTTGCTAAGGTCCTGTAACTGGGAATCCAAATTGGGTTTGCCAAGTTCTTTTCACTACACCCGGTAACTGAGGATGGGTAGCACATCCTCAGGGAAGCCGATAGCTGGGTCAAAGAATCACATCCTAGAACTTTAGAGTCGAAGAGGCTTTCTATTTACGAAGCTCAGCTTCTATTTACAGATGGGGAAACTGAGGCCCAAAGAAGGAGCTGACCAGCCTGGAGCTCTAGCAAGTCACCAACTGTCCAAGTCAAGCGGTCTGAGCCAATGCGACGGCGACCACCAGTCCAACGGTGGGAGGGGGTAATTACTCCGCGAAACGTGTGTGTTGGGGCGGGGGCTGTGGGGGGGGGGGTTAAGGTCAAGGTCCTGGGGGGAGCCGGGTCGGGGAGGATGGGGGACCGCGCAGCGGGACGGGGCCTCGGGTGTGTAGGGGAAGGAGCAGCCCACAGAGTCGCCACCGCTAATCTGTCACGGCCGAGTTCGCAGGTCCCCGAAGTGTGGGGGTGGGGGTTGGGAGGATCTGGGACCAGGACCAGCAGGCAGGAGACTGAGGTGGGGCCTCCGCGGAAGCCAAGGCCCCACACGCCCCGCGACGCCACTCTGCCCCGCTTCGGGCCGGCCCTCCCCGCCCGGCTCCCCGCCGCGCCCCGGGGCCTCACCTGCTCCCGCGGGGGCCGGAGCCGGGGCCGCAGCTAGCGCACCCCCGCCAGGGTTGTCAAGGAGCGAAACAAGAGTGTCTTAGCAACAACAAGGAAGTCCTGCCCCCTCACCGGACGTTGACTGGAATTTCACTTTTTATTGGTGAGTAAAAGTGTCAATCAATGTTAAAGGCCCCTACAACGTAAGGCTTGTACGGAAAAGGGCGTGGCTAGATGCTATGGAGGCGGAGCTTCAGTTATAGTCGTCTTAAGTGGGCCTGAGGAGCGCACGGAGGTACAGAAGTTCGTGTTTCAGAGAAACGAACTTGGACGGGCGGTGTTACCTTGGGTGCATCTTTCGGCCATTTAAAATTACAAATGCAATTTGTTGGTGTCCTGATACTGAGATACTATTTTATTGGGATCTCAGAAGCCTAATAACAGCTAGCGGGACAAAAACTAGGCTTTTCAAGGAGTCTTTCACCAGATTCTCACAATTTTTTTTAGGTAACGGTATTCGTAACCTCATTTGCACTAAGGTTCAGAGAGGTTAAGAAGCGTGTTAAAGGAAAGAATTAAAGAAAAATTCCCTGAGATGGAACCCGGTGTCCTTTCCATCGTAGCACTCCCCCCATACGACTTCAGAGTCCATACGAGACACTGTACCATCTAATTTAAAGACACAGTTGTCCAGAGCCTGCCTTTTCTTACATTTAGGAGGGAAAATTACTCCGAAAGTATTAGTACAACTAGGGAGAAGGGAAAGGGGAAAGAGGGAAGAAACTGCAGATTCAATTACTTGATTGGTGGATCAAAGGGTGACTTCGTAATTTTAACATTTACTTTATCATGATGGGTACTTCAGGTGAAACCCCACTTCACATTCACTGGCACTTTTTTTTTTTTTAAGATTTTATTTATTTGACAGACAGAGATCAGAAGTAGGCAGAGAGGCAGGCAGAGAGAGAGGAAGGGAAGCAGGCTCCCCGCAGAGTAGAGAGCTCCATGCGGGGCTCTATCCCAGGACCCTGAGATCAGACCCAAGCTGAAGGCAGAGGCTTTAACCCACTGAGCCACCCAGGTGCCCCATCACTGGCACTCTGGGAACTCAGTCCTGGCCAGCTGCTGGTCATTCAGAGAAGAGTAAGATGAGGTTCTTGGTTCCAGAGAAGACACAGTCCAGTGAGGGGCAGCTGTGTACAAATTGATAAGAAGACTTTTTTTTACCTGTACTCTGGTATAGGTGTGGGCAATGTGCTGTTTCTCTCAAAGGAGGGAGTAACTAACTCTCAGAGGAGGTGGTTCTTGAGTTTTCTGTGTCTAAGCTGACTAGTAGGCTAATGAGGGCGGGAGAGCACAGTTCACTGGGGAACTGCCAGTGATGCTATGAAGCCTGGGTTCAGGGTGAATGTGGTACAGTGGGAGATGACAGTGAAGAGGGTGGGGGTGAAGATGCAGAGGGAAGGAGCGATCACCAGAGTCAGAAGGGGTTTGAATGCCAAGGTCAGGGACTTGGGTAGTCCCTGGGAGTGTTCCCTGGTGTTCTCTTGGGTGAGAGTGGGGAAAGTAGCTGTTGGGAAGTTTCAAGTAGGTGCCCTACTTGAAAGATAGTCAGATATGAGTCATGGAACGATCACTTGGGCGGTGAATATGGTGGAACTCACTTGGAGTGGGTAGACGGAAGGAGGGCACAGTGGGTTTGGTTTTGTGATTTGGCAGCTTGAGGTATGCTCGGCCCTTACCGATTCCCAAATTGCCTTCCTGGTGCGTTCTTAAGGTCCATGGAATGTCTGACTCAGCCTCCAGATTTCCCTAATCCTCTTTGCCAAGTTTCTCCAGGAGATGGAAGTTGGCCTTTGAGGGGGCTGAAGCTCTCGCCTCCGCCTCTCATCCAAACTTCTAAAAGGGGTCTACATTTGCCGTCTTCTGTTTCTCACCTCCTATTCAGTCTTCAGCCCACTGCAATCTGGCTTCCACACCCACGCTGCCACCACCGAAATTACCTCTTCCATGGTTACTGGTGACCTCCTGAAGAGTGGAATCCAACAGATCTTTATCTTGCTGGACCCATCCCCTCTGGGGGTGTAAGCCTGTCCACCACACCTGTCTTCGTGAAATTCTCTACTTCAGAAATAGTGCCTGCAGAACTCTTTACAATGTGGATTCTAGGGACCCATGGCATCAGAACAGTGAAGGGCAGGAATCCGTGTCACAAGTGCTCCTGGTGCACATTCATAGTTGAGAGTCACTGCTCTGTCATCTGGGGCTCCTCATTCTCCTGGATCTTCTCAAACCTCTCTTCCTCTCTGGCTCCTTTTTTCCTTTGCTCTGTACCCACCTTGTCTCTATTTTCTTCTTACCAAGGGTCTCAAATTTCTTCCTACCCCAGGTCACATCCTCATCGACAAGAGTTTCCTTTGGTCACACTTCCTAGGGTATTTACTGAAATTGAAGGTTGGTGTTTTGGGAAAGCCCCTCTGGTGATTCCAAACCCTCCCAGGGAGATATGCCACCCCATGCATACCTTGTTGAGAATTAACTGCCTTAAGTCTTGTCCTCTGGGGAATCTCATCTACTCCCATGGTTCTGTTGTCAATGTCCTAGATTCTGATGGATCTCTCCAGATTAGGCTTCTCACTGGAGCCCCAGACCTAAACATCCAGCTGCTCCTGGCCATGTCCACCAGAATGTCCCACAAGCCCTTCAAAGTCAATGTGCCCCAAACTGAATTAATCATCTCCCTCCAACTTGCTCTCCCTGTATCCCCCATCTCAATATATGGCACCAAGTTGCTTCCATCAGAAACCAGAGATCATGTCCTTCATACTTACTTCTCTCTGCCATCGCCCACCTCAAGTCAATCAAAAGCCTCCTGATTCTGGTTCCTATGTCCTGATTATAGTCCCTTCTGGCTATCTTCATGGAACTCCCCATGTGTACAGCATGGAGATCAGTACAGTATGATCCCATCTGTATTATTGCAACAACTTCCTAAAAGAACTCCCTGAGTCTTGCCCTTTTCCAACACATCATCCAAGTCGCAGTCAATGTGATGTGTCTAAACCCCAAATTTCACCACTGCATTCCTCTCTTTAACAACTCCTTCCTTTTCTCCTCAGTTCCGCATAATCTGCCAGGTGATATCCAGAGGCCATGACCTGTCATTTGAGGCTCCCCCATGGTGTGGCCCATGACCTGTCATTTGAGGCTCCTCCATGGTGTGGCCCATGACCTGTCATTTGAGCCTCCCCCATGGTGTGGCCTATGGGTGCCTCCATCTCTTCTTGCTACTCCTTCCCCTGTGCTCTGTATCCCAGATACACCAGCCCTCTTGGCCCTCCGCACCCTCCAACCTGTTTCTCACCTTGCCTTTGCTCACACATCTTCTTGGCCACATTCTCTCTCTGGCCTTCCTCCTTTTGGCTATATGAGCCCATACATAGTTGGCCTAAATTGTACACACTTGGATTCCATCACTGGCAGCTAGAAGAGACCTCTGTGCTCCCATCTCCTCTGGTGCCTGCTCTTGTCTTTGCTCTTCTCCATGGTTTAATTCTCTGTCTTCCCCTGTGAGCTCTTGGAGAGCAAGAACCTCGTCCCACTGATCTCTAATGCTCTGTGTTACATACAGGATCTAGCAGAGAGTAGGTGCTTAGTCAATGTTTCATGAACAATTGTACGCAGAAGTGGATAGGATCTCACCCTACTTCAGACTCACCTCTTGTCAATCCTCAAGATTCAGCCAATATTCCAGCTACACCAGCTACACCATTTCATGTACTGCTTCTGCTCCTGCTGTTCAACATGGCTGATGGGGACACCCTGGAATCAATTAGCAATTGGATCAGCTGCGAGTAAGAGAGATTGGAAAAATAGTGACTTAAAACAACATAAATTTATTATCTCTTTTTTTAAAGTAGTTTCCACGTCCAGTGCTGAGCCCAGTGTGGGGTGTGAGCTCACAACCCTGAGATCAAGACCTGTGCTGAGATCAAGAGTTGGGTGCTTAACTGACTGAGCCACCCAGACACCCCATAAATTTATTATCTTATAGTTATGGAGTCAGAAGTCAGACACGATGGGTCTCACTGAGCTAAAAGCAAAGTGTTCCCAGGGCTGCATTCTGCCTGAGGCTATAGTGAGACTGTTTCTTTCCCTTTTCCTACTTCTAGAGACTTTCTGTATTCCTCTGACACTAGCTCTTCAACCTCCCTTAACGTCTAAGAAATCTTGTGATTACAGTGGGTCCATCCAGATAATCCAGGTTAATCCCCTTATCTTCTGGTCATATGATTAGCAGCCTTAATGCCATCTGCAATCTTATTTCCCTTTGCCATGTGATATAACATATTTACAGATTCTGGGGATCAGGATATAGACATATTTTGGGGGACCATTTTTCTACCTCCTGTGGCCAGTTTGGGTGAATTTTTCCCATGTAATTAAAAAGAATATCTATTCTTTTTGTTGCTCTGTTAGGTCAAGTTTGTTAATCATTTTGTACAAATTTTCTATACTCATACTGAACGTTTTGTGTGCTAGCTTTATAAGTTATTGAGAAAGGTGTGTTCAAATATCCCATTACAACTGTGATTTGTCAAATTTACTTTTTGTTTCTGTCAATTTTTACTTTATATATTATGAAGCTGTGTTAATACATATTTTTCTATCTTTTAAATTTCAACTTATCATATACCAGTTTGACAAGGTTAATATTTTTATTGGTCTAGTTCTTTTTAAATATTTAATGTAATTACCTACTTCCGTTACATTTAGGTTTAAAGCAGTCAACTCACTATTCATTTTCTACTTATTCTGCCCTTTTTGTGTTCCTTTTTTCTTTCCCTTTAAGCCTTCTTTTGAATTGTTTTTATTATTCTATTTTTTCTTCTATTGTACTTGTTAGTTACACATTCTTTTACAATCCTTTTAGCATAACCCAGGAAAATAAAATGTTGACCCTAGAGGTATTAAAGTTTAGTATAAAATTAATACTTTTAGTATGTCCAGGACAATGCAAGGAAATTAGAACATTTTAACTGCATTTACCTCTTCCCACCTTTTATTCTGTTGTTATGAATTTTAAGCCTCACAGGAGATAATTGTTATTTTTTTTCACTTGTTGTTAACTTAGATTTAACCACATGCTTACCCTTTCTGTTGTGAATTTCCATGCTTCTTCTCAGGACCATTTTCCCTTTTCTTAGACAATTTCCTTTAGTCTTGTCCTCCAGAGAAGCTCTGTTGGTAACAAAACCCATTGGTGATGAATATATTCTTTTTTCTTTGTTTGAACACATCTTTATGCCATCTCTATTTTTTTAAAGATTTTATTTATTTATTCAACAGACAGAGAACACAAGTAGGCAGAGAGGCAGGCAGAGAGAGAGGGGGAAGCAGGCTTCCTGCCAAACAGAGAGCCCAATGCGGGACTCGATCCCAGGACCCTGAGATCATGACCTGAGCCGAAGGCAGAGGCTTAACCCACTGAGCCACCCAGGCGCCCCTGCCATCTCTATTTGTGAAGACTGTTCAATGAATAGGGAATTCTATATTGGGGTTATTTCAGCACTTTGAAGCTATCATCACTTTATTGTCCTTTATTATTCCTTCTACTGAGAAGGTAGTTGTTATTCCAGACATCGGTCCTTGGAAAGTAATGCATCTTTCTTCTGTGGGACCTTAGAAGAGTTTTCTTTTTGTCTTTGATTTTACATCTGTTTCACCATCAAAGTCCTAGTTGTGGTTTTCTTCGTTTTCATGCCCGGTGTTCCCTGAGATTCTTATATCTGTGGCTTCATGTCTTTCAATAGTTGGGAGCAAATCTTCAGATGTTAATTCAAATACTCTTTCTGCCTTATTTACTCTCTCCCCTTCTGGGGCTCCTTACTTGTTAGACCTTTTCACCATGTTGCTCGTTAATCTTTTGCTTCCCCCACCCTCCCTGCCCCCAGCACTTTCTATTCTTTTCCCTCAGTTTTTGCTCTGCCTCATTTCTTTTGAGATCTCTATTAATAGAGTTCACAATTCCTTCTTCAGGTGTGTCCAAACTGCTACTAGGATTATCTGTTGAGTTCATGAGTTCAGTTCATGCATTTTTCAGCTCTGGGATCTCCGTTTCATTATTTTTCAAGGTTTACAGTTCTATGTTGAAATTCTATTTGTCATCTAAATTCTTAAATGTATTAACCATAATTATTTTCAGGTCGATGTTTCACAACTGCACCATATGGATTCCCTAAAGATATCTTTTCAAAATTAGACTTTAATTTTGAGATAATTATAGATTCACATTCTGTTGTAAGAAGTAATACAGAGAGATCTTATGCATCCTTTATCCACTTACCACCAATGGTAGCATCCTGCAAAACTATAGGAGAATATCACAACCAGGATATTGACATTGACGCAATCATATTCAGAGTTCCCAATTTACTCGTACTCGAGTGTGTGTGTGTATTTAGTTCCATGCAATTTTATCATATGTGTGGGTCTTTTGCCTTTAAATTTTTTTCTCCCTCTTGATTTTTCGTCATTCAGTTTTGTTTTCAGATATGTCTGTTGATGCCAAGCCTTGTGTAACGAAAATATAATGTGAGTTTGAATGATGTTGTTCTCCTTCCTCCAGAGAGAACTTACTTTTGCTTTTGGCAAGATGTTGGTGAAAGAGCAGACACCATAATTCAATCAATGAATGAGAGGATTGGATGCTGGGATTCAGTCTTTGGAGGGCTGGAATATTTCCAATTTACCTGACTCTCAGAGTATAACTTTTTGGGGTCTCACTGAAAGTCTGGGTCATTTACCAAGAGCCCTTTATCTTGAACTCCAATTTGTAGCCGGAATCTTTACCTCTATTTGTCATACAATTTCTTGAATCTATTAACCAGCTTCTCAACTGTTGCTCTCTGTTCAATTTGGGCATTTGTCATAAGTGGGCAGGTGCCTCAAGAGGAAAACTGTAGCACTCTCCCCGCCCACCCCCCGTCCCCTGCCCAATCAGGCTCACTTCCCTGAGCTTCTGTTCTCCATGGGATCCGGTTAACTCTCTCACCTCTCTTGATGTTTCCGTGATGCCTGGAAGTTTCAGATATGGTGTTTGGTTTTTCTAGCTTTTCTCCAGGGGAGAATTAATTTGCAACAGAAATCTCCTACCTCAGCCATTGTTTCTCAAACCAGTGTTTGCCATCCCTGAGAGGTGAAGGGGAATCCAAAATCACAGATCATATAATGCAGCCTCTGAGGGATTGTGCTGGAGTCAGGCAGGATTATATCCCAGTGTTGCCACTTTGCAGCTGGCTGACCTTGGACAAGCACTTCATCTTTCTGTGCCTGTTACTTCCCTCCCAGGGTTAAATAAACTAAGAGGTGTCAAGTGATCAGAGCAGCAAATGTGTAGTGCATAGTGAGCGCTTAATATAGATCAGTTATTAGTATTCAGCAAATACTCAGTAAGCCCCGCTCCGCTAGATGCTGGATACATTGTGTGGTGGGGAAGACAGCTACAGTCCCTTCTCTCACGGGGCTAACACTCACAATTAAAAGTAAGTAAACAAGATCATTATCAAAGAGAGGTATGTGCTGTGAAAAGAATTAAAGAGATGATAGAGAAGGTGACCCTGACAGGTTTGGGTCCAAGATGAGTCAGTAGGGCTCAGTTGCCAATTCTGGGGTCATGGAAGAGAGGACTGAGCAAGCGGCAGAGAGCGACCAGGCAGTGACTTAAGGCTGAGGGGTCAGCAAAACATCTGCGATTGTTGCATGGCAACCTGAGACCTGAATGACCAGAAGGATCATGTCCCCTGAGAACTAGGGGAAGGTGCCCTCCAGGAAGGAAGGGAGGGAACATATGTAACCTCCCCAGATCTGGCAGTCTGGGGGAACAGAGGGAGGCCTGAGTGTCCCGGAGCATAACTGGGGAAAGGGAGAGAGGTGATGCATGAGACCTGAGAGGTGGGAGGGAGTCGGATCACATAGGGCTTTGTATGGATTTCATTCTAAATGTACTGGCACGCTTCGGAGTTTTGGGAAGGGGAATTTGGACGTATTTTGATGGCAACACGATCATTCTGGGTACTGTATAGAGAATGAATTGAGAGAGAGATTTGCAGGAATACAGTTGAGAGATGATGGTGGTTTGGACAGAGCAGTAGCGGAACTAGAGAGGAGTGAGCAGGCTGGAGATCCGTGTTAGTGGTGGAGTCAGAAGACGGATATGCAAGAGAAAGAGGGAAGTCATCGATAATTCTTACATTTCTGATTTGAACAACTGGCAGCTCACGAGCCTGTTTAGTAAGTGGGAGGCTGGGGCAGAAGTCGAGGGGGATCGGGAGTTTGAGATACATTAATTTGGAGATTTCCTATCAGGCAAGGATTCCTGGTTTGAAAGTCATCAGATGATAACTAAAGCCACGATCCTGGATAAGATTTCCAACAGAGAGCGTCTAAATAGCAAGGATAAAGAGATGCAGTGCTGTGGCCTGGGGTACTGCAGATTTAGAGGTTGGGGAGATAAGGAGGAATCCGAAAGAGCCTGAGAAGGAGCAGCCAGTGAATTCAAACTCTGGTTCTCAAAGTGCCACCAGCGGCCACTGCATCGCCTAGCTCTTGTTAGAGGTGCTGAATGTCAGGCTGCGCCCCCAGCCCTGCTGCCTCAGGCACACCAGGGGTGAGGCCCAGACATCAGTCTTTCATTGCACTATAGGCCAAACTAGTGAAATGGAAGGAAAACTGGGGAAACATGTGCTTTGAAAGGCAAGAGAAGGAAATCTTAAGAGAAGGAAGGAGTGGTTAATTATGTGTCAGTGCAGCTGTGAGCGCAACTCAGATGAGTACACAGGCCTGGCCATGAAGTTTCATAATGTGGAGGTCACTCTTGGCCTTGACGAGTGTGATCTTGGTGAGCCGTGGGCGCAGTGGCAGAGTGGGAGCTGGAGAAGGAGTGAATGAGAGAGGGAGGGCGTGGGGAAGACTATGGACCTCGTGTGCAGTAAAGAGTTAACTCAGCCAGCTTAGGGTGCTCAAACCCCACCCATTCCAAAGAAAGAACTGGGCCTTGACCAGTGGGTGGTAGATAACTTCTGAGCCCTTCAAATATCCTACCTGATAAGGGTATCTTTGTATACCTTGGGCCATATCAGATGATTTCCTTTGACAAAGTCATTTACAGAAAACACCTGCCTTTTATTTTTTTTCACCCTGTGTCAGCTTGACCTGTTGGGGTGGGGGCTGGAGCCTGAGTAGTGAGGACTTAACAGGTGCTGCATGCCCGCATGACTGACCCCAAGTAAACCCTGGACACCCAGGCTCAGGTACCCTTCCCTGGAGGATGATTTTCTGCACAGGTGTCACACATCACTGCTGGGGGAAGGAAGCATTGTCCATGACTCCCCCACCCCCACCCCCAGAAGGGACACCTGGAAGCTCACTCCTGGTCTCTCCTGGATTTCCGCCCTAATGTGCCTTTTCCCTCTGCATCCATTCACCGTAACAAACCATAAGCATGAGAAGAACGATTTTTTGGAGGCTCGTGAGCCCTTCTAGTGAGTCATCAAACCTGAGGATGGTCTTGGGGACCCTGCCACACCTGCTTTTGCGAGAAGTCTTGCAGTGATAGGAGCAGAGAAAGAATGAGACCTGGGGGTATGTATTGGCTTGGGGCAGGGGGATTGGTTTGAGGAGCTAGGAAGACATCATCGCAAGCCCGTTGCAATGATAAGGTAGACAAGGAGGAGTTGGTAACTCAGGAGAGATGTTCTTGAGGCGGCAAGGGGGATGGGGTCCAGGTCACAAGGGCCTCCAGTAGGAGCAGAGATGACTTGTTCTGAGTGGCAGGAGGGTAGTTAGAGAACGTGTGGGCTCATAAACAGATTTGGTGAAGTGATGCTCGTTTTGTTTCCTCAATGGACTGTGGGGTAAGGTCACCCTTGAGCATGCAGCAGGGGGCTTGTGGAGGGCTCTAGGAGGTCTGAGGAGAGAAAGGGTCTGCTTTTTAGCTATTCTGGGGAACAAGTCCTCATACAAGGAAAATGCTAAGATGGCGGGGCAGGCAGAAACACCCCTAGGAGATCTCAACACCCATCAGAGCCCTGAGCTTTTCTGCATCAGTGTTCAGCTGGGCAGGTGCTGGCATGAAGCAGGTGGATGGTGGGGATTAAAGCAGGGTTGGAAGTTGCCAGCTGAGTGGGACAGAGGGAGAGAGGGTGTTTGTAAGTAAATCAGCATGAGAGAGGATAAACAAAGTGTATCTGCCTGCAGCTTAATTTTGCTCCATGGTAAGTAATCAAAAGCAATATTTTAAAACAAATCTGGATTCATTTTGGAGAAGGAAGCAAGCACACAAAGTTTTCAGATAACTCGGTAGACTTCAGATATGGTTTTCCTGTTTCAACGGCTGCTTCCTGCTAGCTATACCCCCTGGTCTTCATGGGGTGAGTTCACTTGGTGGGGGGGATGTTTGGGAAGCTTCGGAAAATTCTGGAAGGCCTGTCCTACTGGCATGACCCTCAGACCTGCTGGATCCCCTGGCATTTTCACAGGGGCTGTCTGAGGACACGGTCCAACTACGAGCAGAAACAGTATTGATGGAACAGGAGGATGGAGGCTGTGTCCCTAAGATGGTGAGGACAGGGAGGGCTGGGGACCAGATCAAGACCTCCTAGGGGAAGGGAAAGGTGTTGCAAGGGTGGGTGGGGGTAGCAGACCCTGACACTGCCAAAGAGGCCAGCCTAGAGGCTAAAGTCAGAGGGTCCAGTAGACTGTGGAGCAGGGACAGGTTGAAATACACCAGAGTCCCTCCCTCTCTGTAGGGCCCAAGGGAGGCGATGCTCTGGGGGTCCAGGCAGTGGGTCCAGTGACTCAGGCAGATTGGGTCTCCAGAAACAAGTCAGGGACCTCATTCCCAGAACTGGGGCACGAGGTGGGGATCGGGTGTTGGGAATGAGGCCAAAACCCAGTTATCAGAACTGGGACACTTTCCATGGGGGACTTGTGTTCTTTACATCCTTCCTGCATAAATCCTGGCGAACGGGGTATGTCTGCGCCAGGGAGCTGGCAGAATGATCAGTGTGAGAGGCTAGAGTGGTGAGGCTACGGAGCACCCAGGTGCCTCCTGTGTCTTTGCCCGCTGCCCTGCCCCAAGGAGCCGCCTCCTTCCAGCCCCACACCCCAGGCTAGGTCCACCCTTGCAAGAAGAGCCTCAGAGTAAACATTGTTTATTTTGAACATTCAAATTTACAAAAACAAAAAAAGTAACAAAAACCAGGACACATCTCATACACATACACACATACACACACATGTTGCATCTCATGTCACTTTATGTACAAAACCGGGCGAGGAGAAGGAGGGGATGCGCTAATTTCACAGTGTCAGACAGTTGGACGCGCTCACTCACTGCTCAGCCTGGGCCCACGCGAGCCCCCTCCCCACCCAGCAGGGGTGAGGTGGGGTTTGTTGGGGGGGGCAGGCAGCTGGGACAGAGGGGAGGAGAATGATCCCATCTTTGGGACGGGACCCCTTCCCCAGTCTGCTCAAGGCAAGGTGCTGGGAAATGGAGAGGAACCAGGGACCCAGTTCTTGGTTGGCGGGGAGGGACCACTGCATTGTGGAGAGTCAGAAAACTGAGATCAGGTCTCTGGAAGTCCTGGCTGGGTGGCCCCAAGAACTACTCACCCTCCGGGGGCCCCTGCATCCTCATCTATAAAACGAGGCTGGGGCCTCTTGAAGAAACCTTTCTGCCCAAAGCTGTGGTCCTAGGTCATGCACAACTGTGGCAAGATGATCTGTTCCCTCAGGATATTGACCGGAGGTAGAGCATGCCACAAAGGGGGGCGAAATCTGGCAGATCAGAGCTGTGAAGCACCTGGAGCAGGGCTCGACCAAAGCAGAATTTTGAGAAAGATCATCTCCCCTCTTCCCTGCCTGGGACTCTTGGGAGACCATCCAGCTTCCTCTTCCCTTTGGATTCTCCTGGAAACTCGAGCCAGTTGGAGAAGGGCTGAGGCGGCAGGCACACTGCAGAGACCCCTCCACGGCCTCACTCAAGGGGACCCTGGCCCTGGGGCCAGCCCATCCTGGACTTCTTCCTCCATCACCAACCCTGGAAGGGTAGTGAATGGGGTCAAGCACATCTCTTTAGGGCAAAACCCACTGGGAGCAATGATGCTCGAGTCTCACTTCACACAGAGTAGGGGTGCCTGTCCCTTTGGTCCTGGCTATAACCTGCCTTGGCTTGAAGTCTGGACTTCAGCACCTGCCAGCTGATTGACACCGGGCAGGTGACTTAACCTCTCTGTGCCCCAGTTCCCTCCCTTGGATCACGGGGCTGAGAACAGTCCCAGCTTGTGTTGTGAGGATAAATGAGATGATGCCTGTGAGGTGCTCAGCACAGGCCTGATGCTTTAAAAAGATGGAACAAACAGACTCCAGCATCACCGTTAGCCAGGGTAGCTCAAGGACACAAGTGAGCACCGTTTCTAGCTCCTCTTTCCCCATCTTCTCGGCTGTGCCCAGGAGCAGCTGGACAAGACCAGAGCCGGAGTCCAAACAGCAGGTGTTCAGCAAAGGTGAAGAACGATGAGTAAATGAAGGAAGGGTGGGGACTTTCAGGTTTTCACCTTCCTGGAATGGAAACGGGCACCCAGGCCACTCACCAATGGCCCAGACTCACAGCCTGCACCTCAAAGCCTCTAATTTGTTCCTGTGCCCTCTGGAGGGCTGGCCAGGGTGACTCAGATGGGGACCAAGGTCCGATGTCTCAACATCACCAAAACAAAGCATAAAGGACTTGGGAGGATGCCTCTGGGTGGGCTCAAGTTCTGTCCCTTCCCTCCTAGACACTTTCTTTCCCCCAAGGCCTCCAGAAAACCTGCTTCCTTAAAACCGTACCGGAAACCCAATAAAACCCGGTGTCCCCAGAATCTGGGTTCCAAATTCCGCTGTCACCCCAGCAACAGCGTATGTCATTAAAAGATGCATGACCCAGCACTTGGGCTGATGTCATTGGCTGTTACCAGGGCAACCCTGGTCTCAGCAGGTTCTGGCGGAAGCATGCCATCACTGCTGCTTCTAGGGGGAGTTGGGGCCATTGTGCTGAAAGGTCTATTTGTGCTCTTGAACTGGCAACAAGCATCTGGGGGCTGGAGGCAACAAGTCTTGGGGAGGCGTCCATGGCACAGCCTGCTGCTCTCTTGCCTCCTGCCCCAGGCTGAGTAGTGGTGGGGGGCAGAGATAGGGAGCAGAAAGCGGGGCACATGCATCAGTACCTGCTCGAGTCAGGTAGTCTGCAGCTGCCCAGACACCTCGTCGTAGGTGACCGGCAGAGGGGACACCCGCTTTCCATTCCTGCCAGAGTGCCTGGGGATCATCCTTTTCCTCCCCCTACTTCCTGGGGCGGGGTGGGGTGGCTGGATGCCAAGATATTTGTGTGTTTCATAAAGGAAGATGTTCACGTTGGAAAGCATTCTGACCTCTTTCAAATGTCCATCCTCTCAGGTGAAGGCTGGACGCGAAGACACTCATGGGCAGGCAGTATGGTGTAGGGGGAAGAAGGGGGTGTCAGAAGGGGGTGTCAGAAGCCCTGGGATCTAGTCCTGGTTCTGCCACATTGTGCTGTGTAATCCTGTGTAAGTCACTTGACCTCTCGGAGCTCTTCCCCATCTATACAAGCAAGAAGTCAGACTGGGTGGTTTTTCTCAGCTTTTACATTCTTCCACTCTCTTGGGGGAGCTGGTGAGGACTCAGGGTGGGGAGCTGGAAACCACCAGCCCTTTCAGACGGGCAAGGGTGCCAGGCTGTGGTGGTGGTGGTGGTGGGGATCCAGAAAAGCTAGTTTTTACAATCTGTGCATGAGGTTGGTCTGCCTTGTCCCTTGCCCTTGCCCCTGACTTTCTGGAGGCCGCTGCTGACCCTGACCCATGCTTGGCCAGATCCCATCTTCTACTTACTCTCAGGATCTGCCTCTGGTTCCTGGGCACCTTCAGACTTGCCGCATCTGATCCGCTTGGAACCACAGACCATCTCACATCTAATCTGGAGAGCTCTCCGGAATGACCAAAGCAAGGGTTACAAATGAGGAAGGCCGAGCCAGAGAGGGCAGGGACTCACAGAAGGCCACACAGCAGGTTAGCAGTCAGGCTAACCAGCAACCATGGGCTTCTTCTCATCCAGTGCTCTGCACACCACTCCGTGCTTCTGCCCTCTTTGCCTACTTGGTTTCTCCCCTCTTTCCACAGAGGCTGCAGGGCCATGCAGAGGGAGTAGGTAATGTGGCTCTGCTGTAACCTGGGTCCCCTGGGCACATGTCTCTGACACAAACTGCTCCTAGCCCAGGCTGAAGTGGCCCAGGCCATCCTCAGCATGGAGAGGTGACCTGCCAGTTAGCACACGTGTGGGTGGGCACAAGGGGTGACTATGGCCTTTGGGCCTCCCAGGGTCTTGTCCCTCAGGCTGGAGCTGGAAGGGGATGTCCTGGAAATCGAGGTGGGGGTGGGCCAGGCATAGAACCAACATTCAAACCATTGCACACATAGAAACGAGGGAAGAGGAAGAGAGAAGGTGCAGGAGGCTCCGTCAAGATCCCGTGGCCCTTCACTGGCAACGGGTGGAAAGATGGAGGAGGGATGAGTCTGAGTTTCCTGTCTCTATCATCCCCTTCTCAGCTCGGGGGATGGCTCTAGAGTCTGTTGTGTCCCTGAAGGGGAAGGGGCCAGGCCTGTTGCATGGGGGACAGGAGGGCAGACAGCCAAGCCTGCCGCTGAGATAGTGGGTCCTTCCCTCATACACGACCCTGTGGGACATGCTGTTGAGATCAGTGGAATCAGACGTGGCTGATGGGCCGGCGTGGGTGGGGGTAGGAGAGAGCTCCAGTGTAATGCTGAGAGGGTAGGCAGTGCTGGGGGGGCTCTGCTACTACCCCCTACCAGGCCCTGGACTCACCCCAGGCTTGGCCTGTTGGCTTGAGCTGCTTGTCCCCATCCAAGTGGGGTTAAGGGACAGGCGCTGCAGGGCAGGGCATTCTGGAGGTGTGGGTATAGGGGGGGAAACAGGTGGCATGGTCAGGAGCGGGGCAGGAAGGGAGGTCAGTGTGTGGGTAGGCTGAGGAGGGAATGTGTGCCCCCACCATAAGGTCCCCTGGCAGGCAAGGGAGGGACCCTGGATGAGGCAGCCCCTCATGCTTTGGCCCTCCCCTTGCAGACATCAAAGGTGGCCTTTTTTGCACCCCCGAAGGCCTCCACCAGCTTGTCTTCCCAGGGGAGGACGTTGCCCAGCAGTGGCCCGGTACAGTTGGCAATGCCCAGGACTTGGGCAGGTGTCAGGGCGTGGTCCCACAGGTTAAACTGGGCGATGTCACCCACGAAGGCCTGGGTGGCATCAAACCGGCCGCCCAAGGTATCCTGGGCCAAGAGAGCAGCAGAGAAAGGAGAGAGAAGAGAGACATGGAGTGAGCCATAGGAAAAGACAGGCAGACAGACTCAATCAAGCCCCAGGTCCTGCTGAAGTCCTGCCCCTGAAGTTCTAGCCCCGGCCCAAGCTCTAGCTCCACCCCAAGAGTTCAGCTCTATCCCCGAGGTTCCAGCCCTTTGGGCAGGTCACTGCTCATTCTGAGTCTCAGTTTGCCCATCTGCAGAATGGCTGAGTCAGACTGAGTGATCATTGCTGTGCTTCCAGGGTCCCTCTACCTAACCCCTCCTTCTCAGGGGCCCTGGGTGAGTGTGACATCCACTCAGGCCTCAAGCCCTCACACCACCCTGAAGCTTACCTGCTCCTGGCCCAGGATGAGGATCCCATGAGGCTTGATGGGGTGCCAGGCGGCCAAGTTCTCACCAGAGCCCTGCAGCTCCCCGTCCTGGTAGGCGGACCACAGGCCATCCCTCGTGGTCCAGGCGACACAGATGTGATGCCAGCCATTGTCCTTCAGGCTCAGAGGCAGCTGGGCCACCTGGACATAGGTCCCGCAACCCCAGGTCAGAGGTGCCACAAGTCCCAAGGCTGGACCAGTGGGGTGGGGATCGGGAGACCTGCGTCCTTTCCAGACATTGAGCCAAGGCTTGATCCTCCCCTTCCTCTCAACCCTGTGCCTTTCTCACCACTTTTTCCTCTTTCCCCACAACTTAACCAAGCAGCTTCTCTCAGATCACAAGGGACTAGTCAATATTGGTTTTGGGGTGTTTCCAGGTACCTTATTTGCCCCTTCACAGGCCTGTCAGTTCATGTGGGGTGGGAGCCACATCTCACAGCTTCTGAACACCTCACATAGTGCCTGGCACACAGCTGGGCTCAGGGAGTCCCAGCAGCCTTGGACTCAGAGCCTGGGCACTGGCATCCAGCTCTGGCTCTGCCACCCAACCTCCTGCAGGACCTTGGGGAGGCTGCTCTCTCTTCCCTGGGTCTCAGTTCCTCATGCAAAGGACACAAAGGTCAAGCAAAGGGAGGCAAATACGTAGCCACCTCTGCCTCGTCCACCCAAGGTGGGCACGGCTAACCAGTCGTGAACCCAGGCTCAGCCCTGGGATATTTCCTAACACGGTGCTCTGGGAAGCTGCTGGTGATTGATTAGCGTTGGCCTGTGAGATGAAAGGTACTTGCTGCCTGTGGATTTGGGACTCCCGAAGGGCTCTTTCATCTCCTAAGTTCTGTGAGATCGTGCTTTAATACAACATTCTCTGAGGTCCACTTAGTGCCAGGCTTGTTCTGGACACTGGGGATGTGGATCTGGCCCTAGCTGCAAATGAGCTGAGTCTGCAGGGGAGGGAAGAACTTCCCGGACTATATAAGGCAAAATAACCCGGGGCCATTTGGGAGGTCCGGAGGAAGAGGCAGGTGTGGGACTGCAGACGTGGTATTCAAACACATGGGGAAGGACAATGGATCTAACTGTTCCATTGCAAGTCAAGGCAAGGTGGGGACACAGCGGGAGCAAAGGCTGAGAGGCTGGAATAAAAGCGGAACTGAGTAATCTGGGAGGCCGACTTTAAGAAGATGCTAGAGGTTTGTGGAATAGGGCCATTGTGGGCCCTGTCCAGGGTGCTGAATCCTCTCCACCGAGAGCAGAGTGCTGAGCTTGGGCAGGGCCAAGGATGGCAGCCAGGGGGTGAGTGAAGGGGACACGGCAGCAGGATCTAGATGTAGTTCAGCTACTCCAGTCTTCTTAGGACCTACTGGGCTACAAGAGAAACTCACTGTCCCCTGGGCCCATCTCCTTCCTCCTCCTCCTTCAGGACACCCATGAAAGACACCTGCTGAGCTGGCTTCTGATGGGTGACAGCCACTGCCTAGCAACTCTATGTGGCTGCGGGCTGGTCATGAGTGGGTGTGATTTGTGGTGTAAAGACCACCATGCCTGCAAATCCCAAAGCAATATGGCAGGTAGAGAAGGATACTGGGGAGAGTGAGGATGATAGGATACTCCCTCTTCTCCTGCTCAATCACATGCCCCTCCCATGCCACTTCCCCCATGTCCTAGTCCTAATCTGTGGACAGGCCTGGGGAGGGCTGTGGGGCTGGGGAAAATGGGTGCCCAAGGCCAGAACAGTGAAGAGGTGAAGAGGAGGTTTCTGCAGCCCAAGACTATGAACCATATCACTGGCCCTTAGCCAGCTGTGTGGCCTGGGCGCATTTTTGCCCTCTCTGAGCCTCAGCTTCTCCATGTGCAAAACAGTGACAATAAGGCTGCCTACCTCCCCGTGCTACTGGGAGGGTCAAGGGTGATAACGTGGGTAAAGTGCTCTCTGGCACAGGCCTGGAATGATACCAGCTACATGTATCAAGCTTGCTAAATGCCAGGCTTGCTCAAAGCCCTTTACATGTATTTAAGTCACTTCTCACCATGACCCCATGAGGCAGAGACTATTATTTTTCCTTCTTGGCAGATAGGGAACTGAGACACAGGAAGGATAAATGACCAGTCTAAGGTCACCCAGTAAGTAAGTAGCAGAACTGGGGTTTGAATCCAGTATTCAGGCCTGACCGTGGCCCCATTCTACTTTCTGAGTGATGGAAGGGGCAGAGGGGCTGGCCACAGGAGAGGAGTGGGGCGAGGAGTCCACCAGCAATCCCTCCCTAGGTAGGTCCCTGGACCTCATTCTCTTCTCTTCTTGTCCAGGAGAATGAGCAGAGCCCTGAAACAGACCCTTCTAGCCCTGCTCACACAGCTGGGTCACTGGAGAAGGGCCATGAGCTTCCTCTGTAAATGGAAAGGCAATCACTGACAGCCTCTCTTGGCTACAAGCCCCTCTTCAGCCAGCCCTAGGTCTGGTTTGTCTTTGTATCCCCAGAACCCAGCCTGGCACTCAGTATGCATTTCCCGTGTGCTGACCCTGCTGAGCAGGAGAATGTAAAGGGCCCACATGCTTGGGACCCAGCCCAGTGCAGGGGCTCCTGGAAGGGTAACCCTGCCTCCCACTTTCTGCCCGCTCTGCCCAGCCCCCACTCACCTTGTCATTGATCAGCAGTTCCATGGGGTCCTGGCCCGCCTCCAGCAGTACAATCTCATTGGCCTGCCCGGGCACGGAGTAGGAGAAGGGTGTGCCCTGGCCACTGCCATCTGACCTGGAGCGCAGCCACATGCAGACGGTAAAGGCATAGAGCTCGGGTAGCGCCTTCCGCACACGGGCGTACATGTAGTTGTTGCGGATGGGGATGCTGATCTTGAAGGCATCTGGGGGACTGTAGGCCGAGGACCCTGAGGGGGGTGGGCAAGGCGGACATGGTGGGGTCAGTGGACACTGACTGGGGGGCAAGGCAGACTCTAGGATGAGGGCTCCTAGTCAGTCCCTGGGCAGCTGCCACATGCCAGGTGCCTTCACAACCCTCTCTACCCTGCTTCTGGACACAGAAGGGCTCTGGACCTGAGATGTCCTGAGTTCGAACCCTGCCTCCGCACTTTCTAGCCACATGAACTTCCACAAGTTCAACATCACTGCTCCAGCCCCAGTTTGCTCAGTCAAGTGACATAAATAAGATTTCCTCCCTCCCAGGCTTGTGTGAGGGCCAAGGGGGACAAACTATGTAAAGGGCCCAGCCCATAGTAAATGCTCAAAAAACATGAGCAGCTGTGCCCCTGCTCTGCCCCCTCTACTCCAAAACTGACTCTCCCTCTGCCTTCAGCAACTAGCCTGAGGCCTGCCTCCTTCAGGAAGCTCTTGGATTTCCTACTCCTGAACTCACATCCCACATCTAAGCCAGTCCCCGATAATTGCTCATGATTCCCCTAGTATCCCTAACTTGTCTGTAAGCCTCTTAAGGGTGGTCCTCCCAAGGTTTCAAAGACGAAAGGTCCCTGGGAGCACAGGGACCCTATCTCCATATTTCAGATGAGAAAAATGAGGCCTGGGGAGAGGAAGCAAAATTCCAAAGTCACAGAGCAAGCCAGTGACAGCTGTGGAGCTAGGGGCCAGGTCTCCTGAGGCTCAGACCTGGGCAATATCCATGACAGCACATTTCTCAGACTCCTGGCAGTGCCAGGCCCAGGTGCTAAGCAAGTACCAAAATTCTGATTCACTGAAGGTGCAACTTTGTGGGGCGGTTAAATGCATGGACTTTGGGAAAGTCCAAACCTCAGACCTGGTTTGAGGTCCAGATCCACTACTCACTGGCTGTGTGATGCTGGGCAAGTCACTTGCCCTCTCTGAGCCTCTGTTTTCTCATCTGTGAAACAGGGACAATCACAGTATCACCCCCATGTGGTTTGTGAAGGTTAAACCAGCTGATGTGTCAAGTCCTTAGCCCACTCCCAGAATGTAAGGGCCAGAAAATGCTAACGGTTAAGAAAAATAATGGTATTCTTCGTTAATTCCCTCCTTCTTGGGTTTCGCAGCCTCTTCGCCATCTAGCTTTAGCCTCTGGAGAGCATAGAAATATTCACAAGTGAATCTGAGACCTTGAGGACCCATCTGGGAACCAAGGCCCCACCTGCTGTGCCCTCTGCGGGGCCCCAGACCCACCATGTTCCAGTCCGGCCACGCGGTCCTGCAGGGCATCCAGCTCCTTCTCCACTTCCTGCCGCTGCCGTTGGCTGCTGTGACTAAGAGCCACGCGCTCCTTCTCCAGGGCCAGCACCTTGGCCAGCAGCTGCCCTTCCAGTTCGTCCATCTTGGAGTGCAGGGCGGTGGGCACCGCAGGTGCAGGGGCTGCGGCGGTTGAGAAGTTCACACGGGCTGGGAGCTCCTGCTGCTTAAAGGGCAGAAGAAAGGGCATGTGAGGTCACTTGGACGGTGGAAGGAAAGAGACACAGGGCTCAGAGATGCCCACCGCCCCTGCTGAGTGATGCCAGGTGAGCCTCAGCTTCCCCAAATGCAAAATGGGGATGGCAATACCAAATTCAGGCAATACCTGTTCAATGAAAGAACGGGTTCTTTCTGCTGCCAGTGCCTAATGGTAAGTTGAAAGAAGGCTGGCTCTGCCCTCAAGAACATCTCTGCCTATGGTTGGGGGGGCAGGGGGCTGGAGGTGGAGAGCTAGAGAAGCTCCCCTGGGTGGTTCTCACCGTGCAGTCAGGGTTGAGAGCCACTGCTGAGCGGCTCTCATAACTGACAGCCTGTACGCTGATGGGTCCTTGAAGGGGTGGACTGTCTTAGTCTTCACTCGTTCACTCGCCGGGCTTCTCTAAGATGGGGCAAGGTTCCGTGGGGGCACTAGGCAGATGCAGGGGCACGAACCAGGGGCTTCTGGAATAGGGCTGTCGTGGTGTGCCCATTCCAGAGCAGCAGGTTAAGGTCATGGGCTCTTATTCAGAAAAACCAGGGCTCAAATCCAGCTCCAGAATCAATCTGCTATGTGACCCCCGGTGCATGCCTCCATCTCTCTGAACCTGTTTCCTCACATGGAACAGGGACAACTGTACCTATTTAGAAGGGTTGGGGGATGGTCAAGTAGTCAATGCCAATGAACAGAGCCTGGTTATTGCAATTACTGCCCAGGGCGGAGCGTTGTAAGCTGGTCTCTGAAAACCCTTATCTTGCCCAGGGGGAGGACAAAGTGCTTAGAGTTCCCCCTTCTGCTGTCTTGTGACCCCATCAGGCAGGAGAATTAGGGCAGGGGCTCAAGGGGAGCTCTCCTCCCCCTCTCCTGCTGGAGGAAGCCCCCATCTGGGGTGGATGGAGGCAAGGGAGGCTGCCAAGTCCAGACTCTGGGAGGAGCTAGTCTTTGGCAGACATTAATAATTCAGTGAGCTTCTAGGAGCCAAATTAGAACTTCCCTGTCCCCTTGGCTTCCTCCACACTCCCCAAGGGCCCAGGAAGCTCCTGCTCAGTCAGCCCTGGGCCTTGCCCACAGGCTTAGCTCCAGAACAGAGCTCACTGAATTTTCACGATTCCTTCACTGAGCAAGGAATCGGGGAGCACCTACTAGGGGTTGGGCCCTGCACCAGGTGCTGAAGAGACAGTCAAGGGCAGAACAGAAAACCAGGAGCACAACTTAACACTTCCCGATTGCCCTGAGCCTCGCAGGGATGGCCCCTCGGCTTGGGGCGAATGTAGGAGACCCCTCCCCAGACTCACTGGCCCAGCCCTGGCCCTGCTGGTCATTTGCTGGATGAGACTGGGCAGATGCCTTTGCCTTGACGTGCCTGGTTTCTAGCCGTGTGAGGAGGGGAAAAATGGGTATCCTGCCTCAAAGTGCCAGAAGGAGGGGTGGGGATGCCAGCGCCTGAGAGATGCTGCCATGACCTCAGGCTGGGGAGTTGGAGGGACTGATACCCCACCTCAGGAGTGGGAGCAGGGGGGCTAACTTCTCTGGTGTCATTTTCCCTCATCTACAGAGCGCTTGGAATGCCCATTTTGCAGACCTGCAGTCAGGATTAAATGGTGGTGTGCAGGACAAGAGCCCGGGCCAAAGCTGGACCACAGGGGCCGCCTTTTTCTGTTGTTGTTGTTGTTGTTTCTTTGTGTTTTTTTGTTTTGTTTTAGCATTTATTCACTTATTTGGAGAGAGAGAGAATGAGAGAAAGGGCATGAGCGGGAGGGGCAGAGGGAAAGGGAGAGAGATTCTCTGGCAGGCTCCCACTAAGCTCGGAGCCTGATGCAGGGCTTGATCTCATGACTCTGAGATCACGACCTGAGCTAAAACCAAGAATTGTACACTTAACCAACTGAGCCACCCAGGTACCCCTATAGGGGGTCACCTTTATCCCCCATCACATCCTGCGTAAGAGGGCACAGCCGCCCATCCGTGCTCGGCCCTCCGGGCTGGGGTGCAGGCCAAGTCCGTGGGTCATGGACTGATGAGCACCTCCAGTCCCACGCCTTATACTATCTTCCGATACCCTGTCTGGAGGGCTCCTTCTAACTCCCTGGGTGCCTACGAATCCTAACTCTGGGGCTGACTAAACACAAAGCCTCAGTTTCCTCTTCTGTGAAATAGGGACAATAGACCCCCCTCCGTCCATCCCCAGGACAGATGTAAGGATGGAAAAGTGGAAGTAACGGGCCCTCCTGGACTGTACTAAAGCCAAATGCAAACTGTGAGCCTTAAGTACATCAGCCAGTGAAGAGCCAGCTACTTCCAGAAACTTCCACTGGCCACAGAAGCCCAGGGAGTGTCAGGGCCAGGCAGCCACTGCATTTAAAGCGGCTGAACTTCCAGGAAATCTTGGGCTGAGGCAATTAGCTCCTAGATGGCATCCTGTCTCGGTGCCAGCGGGGCCACGGCTGGGTCTCCTGGGCTCCGGCACCCTCGATCCTCAGTTTCCCTCTTTCCATGGTGCCAAGCTTGGCAGGAGGGCCACACGTCTGAATGAGACAGTGTGCCAGGCCCGTCCTTGGCACTGCACATGTATCTACTCACCAGTCCTCACAGCCGCTCATTTTGGTTGCTACTCTCAGTGACCCCATTTCACAGAGCCGGGAACTGAGGTAGAAGTCCTTTTGAACTCTCTACAGTAACAGGGCTGGCAAAGCTGACATCCGTGGAGCTCTTGGGCAGAGCGTTGTCCTTCCTCAGAGGAGGAACAGGACATCTAGTGCTATTTACACAGACGCCATGGCGAGGAGGAGCCGTGAAGGCTGAGGGAGGCGGGCGTGCAAGCTGTCCTTTTGTCGGAGTCCCTAGCCTTGCCGCTGGCAAGAAGGCCAGGGAGGAGGTGGGCCCTCCAGATCGTGTGCAGCCCCCTCCCCACCCCAGTGTCTGAATCAGAAGAGCATGACTCCCCCCACTTTCCCATCTGCTGCGGGCGCAGGCTGGGCCGCGTGGGCTCCTGGCAGATGCCAACTGGGCCCCTAGCCCAAGATGGGGGGAGGGATGATGATGCTGTCACCCCCACTCAGGTCCCGATGTGGCAGGGAAAGGGGGGCTCTGAACCCACAGACTGTTGCGCTGGGAGTTTGGGTGGGGTTCAGCATAAGTATACGGGCCCCAAGCCAGAGCCCGGGGCTCCAGCCCAGAGCAGCGCCAACGTGCTGGGCTCATTAGCACTCGGTGATAAGAATGTGACAGTGGCAGCTGTCCTCATCGTCATGTACGACGTGCCAGGTCCTGCACCGGGGAAGCCTGTGCACGCATTTCACAACCCCTCTCGACCATCTGGGGAAGTGAGGAGGCCCACTTTACAGATGAGGGAACTGAGACGGGGAGCTGGAGTTTCAGGAACCCCAGCCCAGGCCCTTTTGGTTCCAGAAGCTGTTTCTATTCCTCCATCCTTCCCTCACTGTGTGGGTCCCAGTCGGCCAAGTGGGCACAGTGCTGGCTGCCCTGCCTGCCTGGGGGCCTAGTGGAAGAGGTTCCAGTGGTCACAAAAAGGCTGGGAGGGTCCCACAGGCTGTCAGACCGCGGTGGGGGTGGGGGGTGGCCTCACAGAGGGACCCAGAAAGGAGGGACCTGCCTAGGCAGGTGGCTTTGAGGCTGGGAGGATGTTGGGAGGACCCAACCACCTCATCCCCAGCTGGGGTCTGCTCCTTTCCTTCAGGGAACAGAGGGAGGGTGCTGGGGCTCTGTGCACAGCTCACCCCTGCCTGGGCTGCGCAGGACCCTGTTCCCGGGGCTGCATGCAGGGCGAAGGAGGAGAGGCTTTCCGGAGGCACTGTGGGGGCGGCCTCCTCACCTCCCCATCTGACCACCCCCAGTCCAATGTGGATCTGCTGGGCTCACAGCTGGGTTCCACCCCCCTAGTGACCTTGCATAAGGTGGCGTGCCTCAGTTTCCCCAGCAAAAATGTTCAGCAATAGCATCTCAGTTCACCTTAAGAAGTGAGGGAGTCATGATGCCCTGAGGGCAGAGCGTGCGCGGTGGGGGGGGGGGGGTTGTGTCAGTTATTATTACTACTACTTAAATAGTTCTTGAAGGGGCCCATCCTTCTCCAGCTCCAGCCATAAATCTTTTTGTTTAATCATTATGTTGGGAGAAAAAGCAAGTTACAGAAGAACAGTTAGAGACCATTTATATGAAGTTGCAGACTCAAAACCAGATCATGAATTTGTAAAAAGCAGGAACAAACACCGGGGGAGAGATGAATACAAATTTGGGGCAGTGGGGACCCTCTCCTGGGGGTGGGTGGTCTGGGGCTGGGAGCTGAGAGGCCCTGAGGGGCACAAGCTGGCTGCAAATATTCTGCTTCTTGAGTTTGGGTCTCCGCCTGGATGGCATTCTTTATTCCTTTGTGTTATGTCTGAGATACTCTGCAATGACTTTGTTTAAAAACAAAACAAAACACAGGGAGGGGCGCCTGGGTGGCTCAGTGGGTTAAAGCCTCTGCCCTCAGCTCAGGTCATGGTCCCAGGGTCCTGGGATCGAGCCCCGCATCAGGCTCCCTGCTGAGCAGGGAGCCTGCCTACCCCCCACACCTCTGCCTGCCTCTCTGTCTACTTGTGATCTCTCTCTGTCAAATAAATAAAATCTTAAAAAAAAAAAAAAAACAGGGAAAAATCCGAAAGCAGAGTTTCTGAGGGTAGAAGCAAACCCTGAATCTTAATGGTAGCCTCACTTGGCTCCTTGGGCTTCCCTAGTCCAGGCCCCGGTCTCCCGGCCCCTGCACTGACCCTTCTCCACGAGGAAGCCAGTGGCCTAACTGCTTAAAATTCTCCAATAGCCCCCTCCCCAACCCATAAAGTCCCAGCCCCTCTGATCTCAGCCCTCACTATCCACCCCTGCAGGCTACACTTCCTTCCCACTTAAAGTCCCCAATTGCCCCTCCCCCAGCTCCCTTCCTACCCCAGAGGCTCCATATATGCTGTTCCTTCTGC